TTTGAGCTAAAACAGTCGCTTCACGAAAAATTGTGGCTTGCATCCTTTTTACACCAAAGTAAGGGCTTCAATTTGTAGCCCCATCAAAAGTAGGTCGCCAAACTACTCATAAAGAGATGCACTTGATTCTTGTGGTTATAAACCCGAAGGGCTTCATTTATTAGTGGTTGTGGCTGGATTTACAATAAGTGATTTTTCTTATGACCGTTATTCTAATTAATTGCACTATGAAATAAAATACAATGAAATGGGTGGGTGGGGGTGGGTGGGTGCGTGCGTGCGTGTGTGTCTGTATAACGCATAACTCATGAACCGATACACAGAAAAACACCAAATTTTAAACTTAAGCTTTGTTTCAGCGTCCAATGAGCTGATCAGATTTTGGGCAGAGTAGGAACATCTGGGGGGGTACTTTATAGGTGGTCATTTTTATATTTTATGGAATATATCTATTATTTACGTTTGGAGAAGAACATTCTTTAAATAAAAGTTACTTCTAATATAATTATCTATAATTTTTGTTTTATGCAAAATTTTCGTAAAATGGTCCGTATTCGAGAAATTTGACAAAATGTAAAAAAAAATAATTTTTTTATAAAAATTGTTCAAATAAAAGTTATTTGTAATACAATTCTCTATAATTTTTAATCTATTCATAATTTCTCTAAAATGGATCGTATTCGAGATTTTTGTTTATTTCGGCCTGGCGTGAAATGAAAGGGAGGTCGTTTTTATATTTTATGGAATATATCTGTTATTTATGTTTGGAGAAGAAAATTGTTCAATTAAAAGTTACTTCTAATATTATTATCCATAATTTTTGTTTTATTTCAAAATTTCCTGAAATGGTCCGTATTCGAAAAATTTGACAAAATGTGCAAAATTCTGATTTTTAAGAAAATTGTTAAACTAAAAATTGTTTGCGATATTGATCTCTATAATTTTTGTTTTTACATGATTTTTCGAAAATGAACCGTAATGGAAAAATTGGAGAAAAGTACTAAATTTAAATTTTTTAGTACTTTCGTTTTCAATGAATATCTGTAAAAAAATGTTTCGAGTTAAATGTATGTGGAAAATGTATATATTTAGTTTATTCTCTAAATATTTATAGAGGAGGTTGTACAAAATAACCGCCTATAAAGCCTATAATAACTAGATAGGAAAGTCATGTGTTGGACAAATCAGATTTTTACTAATGAAGATATCGGTTTTTGGTACGCTTTCGCGGTAACTTCGCCACAAATATAACAGAAGCTATCGGCTTTATTAACGCAAACGCGCATCGACATTTTTGGTACCGTTTTAACACGCACGTAGATCTAAGCGAAAATATGAATAGATGTTTACTAAATGATTTTCTGGTAACGACTAAAGGGATATTTCAAGCATAGATCCAACTACCTGCAAATAACAATGGGGCGACCGTTTATTACCTATTAGTGGGCCTATTCGACCCTTCCAAGAAATCTGAGGCCAATATAAACATTTGGGGGTCAGTTGTATATTATTTTAAGTCCAAATGTTACAAAATATACGATATTTTTATAAAGAGGATTTTTGTGTTGAACGGTGTATTTGAGGCAGAAACTGTTATCAGACAGATTGTTTTCAGCAATATAGTATATTACATTACGAGTGTGGAAAATCACTTTTCACACAAGTGATGTACAATATTTTTCCTACGACCACAAAATAATGTCATCAAAAAAATGTAAAACCAAGGTTATTATTACTATAATAATTAAAATGTATTTAAAAAAATAATCAACAATAATCGTATTTATTCAATTTTCATATTTTCTAAACAAAAAAAACTAAAAAAAAAATAAAAAAAAAATAAAAAAAAAATAAAAAAAAACAAAAAAAAAATAAAAAAAAACAAAAAAAAAATTCTGCCCCGACAGGATTTGAACCATAGATTGAACGCGGTCGAAAAATGGCAAAATTGATAAGTTCGACGTCCTAACCAGCTGAGCTAACAGCCCTTGTGTCAATTGAATGATCTAATCGGTTATGTATTTAACCAAAATAAAGAGCAAACATTATTTTAAAATTATTTTAATAATAATTGTTAAAGATAAATATCTAGGATCTAATTTACAACAATTTCAATAATTTAACAATCATATCGATTTTAGTATTAATATGGATATTACATAGATCAAAATAGAAATTAGCTTACAAAATAATATCAAAAAAATGTAAAACCAAGGTTATTATTACTATATTAATTAAAATGTATTTAAAAAAATAATCAACAATAATCGTATTTATTCAATTTTCATATTTTCTAAACAAAAAAAACTAATAAAAAATAAAAAAAAAACAAAAAAAAAATTCGGCTCCGCCAGGATTTGAACCATAGATTAAACGCGGTCAAAAAATGGCAAAGTTGATAAGTTCGACGTCTAAACCAACTGAGCTAATGGGCCTTACGTCAATTGAATGATCTAATCGGTTATGTATTTACCCAAATTAAAGAGCAAACAAAATCTTAGTTATTTTAAAATTATTTTAATAATAATTGTTAAAGATAAATATCTAGGATCTAATTTAAAACAATTTCAATAATTTAACAATCATATCGATTTTAGTATTAATATGGACATTACATAGATCAAAATAGAAATTAGGCGTTTGACATTTTTTGACAACTACTGCGGAAAGTAACATATTCTCACTGGGGTGGAAAGTAAATTCTTAGTCATACGCGTGTGATATAGGACACTTTCCATAGGACTATATAGTGTGATATGTGTCACTTTCCTAAGTGGTCGTAGGAAAAGTTGATTAGTGTCATCAGCATAACCAACGGTAGTTACTCTAGGTGTTGGATATGAGTATTCTAAGTAGCTCATAAACAAGATGAAAAATAGTGTGGCTAAAACTGAGCTTCTAACATTTCTTACATTCGAACTCGGTATTTATACTAATATATTCGACAAAGAACAATTTAGTATCGGTCTCACTCAATTTTCACATAATGTAGTACCACGAAAAACAGCTATAATGTGCAACAACTGGATTGCGAAACGTTCCCAACGTCGGAGCTTCTGTATCTGTAACGTGTGGAGGGTGGGTTACCCCCCATGACACTTAGGCATCATTAGGCTCATTGTGCATCCTCCTAAGATGAGAGGCACCTCCTAGCTTGTGAGCCAGCCTACAGATTTAATGTAGTTGACAACGTCGCCAAGAGATGCTTCTCTTATATCGGCCGGTGTTAGCCGATACTCGCCGAACACAAATCTTTTAATAAATGAGAGCGTCGAGCAATCGTAAAGGATATGCTCGATGGTCTCATCGCCTTGTTCGCACCCTTTGCAGAGTGCGGATTCTGACAGCCCCATGATATGGAGATGCTTCCGTACTTGGCAATGACCAGTCAGAATGCCTGTAACTAGGCGCAGATTCTGTCTAGTCATAGTTAAGTATTTGTTTACTATGGTGTTGTTAGGAAAACTTAAGAGCTCCCTGGCAACTTTGCAGTTTCTTGTTTCATCCCATTTTTTCTTGAATTTCACAAGGGAATGTTCTTTGATTAGGTCTGTCACTATCGATTTTGTCACGCCAATAAAAGGGCCAGGTCCAAAAAGTATTTGGTTGGCTGCTTTCTTGGCTAGTGAATCGGCAGGACGGTTACCTTTCGATGTGGTGTGACCTTTGATTCATCTTAAGGTGACCACATTGTTGATTGATACTTTGATCAAAACTTCGTGACATTCTAGTACTAACCCTGAGTAAATTCGTCGTCTGTTCAGCGTGAGTAGTGCTTGTCTGCTATCTGTATAGATGAGCATGTTCCTTCCAGTTATATTGTTTCTGGATCTTTTGCTGCTATGAGAATCCCCGTTAGCTCTGTTTGAACTACACTGGCACTATTGCTCACAGCCCATTTTATATTTAGGTTTAAGAATCTGGAGTATATTCTACATTCTGAGCCTTGTTTTGTTTTAGAATCGTCGGTGTAGATATGAATCGTACCTGCTACTTCTGGCTCTTCTATTTGTTTTATTATAACTTTATATGGCTTATGGAAGTTATATCTCGGTGAGAGGGAGTCCATGTTCGCTTGAAGCAGTGGGAGCGTATCGAGCGCCTCCTGCCAAAAGCGACGTCTCGCTTCACCAGATCCTACATCAGGTTCTATTCCAACCGTGCAGAGGATTTTCGTTCAAATAAATTGTAATTGAGGGGTTTCAATTTATTTGAATTATGAATAAATTGTAATTGGGTTTCAATTAAGAAGGAAAAAAGAAGCATTTGAAACCTCTTTGATATAAATATCAAGGGGAGCGAAACTAAGAATGACTTCCATGGCTCTGGTCGGTGTTGTTTTCATGGCTCCTGTTATGTTGAGACATGCTGTTCTTTGAATTTGTTCTAGTTTACGGATAGCTGTTAATTTTTGGGTTTTTACCCAGACAACTGCACCGTATGTTAGCATAGGTCTTATGATAGCCGTGTAAGTCCATGGAACGACTCTGGGTGAGAAACCTCAGGTGCGTCCCACGGTTCGGCGGCATTGTTTATAAGCAATGTATGCTCCTTTAATTATGTTTTTTAAATGCGAGTTCCATGTTAACTTGCTGTCAAATGACCTAGGTACTTCACCTCTGTTGCCAAGTTTAGTTTTTTGTGTTTAGGAGGTCTGGAGGTTTTAATTCCATTTTCATCCTGTTCTTTGTGAAAAGGACCATTTTTGTCTTCTTAGGATTGATAGACAGTGAATGGCCCTTGCACCATTGTTCTATAATTTTTAGAGCGTATTTAACAATTTAAACCTGCTAAAGAAAATATATGGAAATAGAAAGCGATTGATATTTCCTCGAAAAACGCAACAAAATGTTTAAGAAAAGAATAAAAAATTATCAGACACGGGGGCGTCGGGTTTTAGTTGTGGGATTGAATTTGTGTTTCATTATCTTACATTACCTAATATTTGATTTTTAAGTCCTGATATACCTAAGATTTATAAGTATTTTTTTTTTGTACAGGAGGTGGATACATGCAAGGATACCAATCTTATCAACAATATCAGCAATATCCCGGTGGTCAACAGTACAGTGTGATGCCCCAGCAAGTTCAATGGGCAGGACAACCTGGACAACAGCCTAATGTGCCGGTGATGTATGGTAATGTTCAGAAATATCCATCTCAGTGAAATGTTACACAGACAATTAAGTTCTTGGTTAAAGTTCTAGCTACAAGGTTCTATTGCAAATTAATAAACGAATTTGCAGAATTCCTTGCAGCTTGTGAGCAAAGGACATTTATCAAATAAATTAACTATACATAAATATAGATTTTAAAATAAGGAATATGAACTTAAACAATAGGCATTTTATATGTAAAGTTATAATGTCAATAATGAGTCAACTTACATTTGTGGCTATATTGAATACATGTTTTCATTTATAAAATTTAAATTTTATTTTCCTTTTTCTATTCTAAATTAGGTAGCCATGAAAATTGGTGATAATTATAAATTTTATTGGATTTTCCTGTGAACTGTATAAAAATAATAGAAAAAAAGAAGTAATGATTACAGTTTACATACTGACACTAGTTTGTTTTAATTTTTTTGGTTCATCCATTTTGACTTCAGTTTTCGATTACCGTTTACTGCTTAAAATTTCCCTCTTCACAATTTTTTTTTTTTAAGTAAAATAATATGTAAAACATGATAACTGTTTTGTAAATTTTTTAAACAAAAAAAATGTATGTCAAGAAAATACCACTTTAGAGATCAAATGGTGGTGGTATATGATTGAATTGAAATGACATGTGAATTCAAAAAATAGACCAAAGAATTTCTTGTAAAGGTACACAATTTATTGTGATTCCATATACTATTTTCTGAATTTTAGTACAACTCATATTTTAATGTATACGTAAATATTGTAAATATGAAAATTAAGAATACATGTCTTGGCTTTTTACATCGTTTTTTTTTTAATATAATTTTCAGCCCGGTGTATAATAATTGCTTTTTTAAAGCACTTTGGTAAAATTATATTATGATGATTTGAAAAATTTGTATGTAACTAGCAAAATCAAATAGAAAAAGATTTTATATTGGCCAAGGTTGGTATTGCTTTTCTTCTTTAAATGATTTGATTAGATAAAATGGTTGTTAATCATATAGTAAATGTTTGATATTGTCACAAAAAATAGTTGACTCTATGAGACCCATAAATGAGTCGCAAATATTGAACAGTAATACATTGTTTTTGCACGTTAGTTGTAGTCTAATTGTTATCCTATAAACAGTAGGTTTAGGCTCTCTTGGTGGTAGTAATAGCATTTTCTAATGCTAATGATATGGTGTGATTAAGGTACAAAACTTGTGGTTTTTAGCTTGTCAACTAGTTTCAAAGTTAGTTTTAATTTTTTTTATCAAATTAAGACTAGATTTTATGGTATAATTTATTTTTGCACTGCGTTTTACAGATAAATACGTTTTAGTTTAAAATATCAAAATATGTTTACTAAAATCGCCTTTTCCATTTGAAATATGATTTAGGGAAAGTGGGACAACTGCAATCTTGAACATTTTGCAATTTTCAAGTTTTTAATACAACTTTCAAATTAAGAAACTTAAAATTTTTGAAAATATTGCAATCTTTTAAACATTCCAATTACTTACCCCGAATGAATTAATATTTTCAATGTTACAAAACGAGTTAGTCTACACAATTCTGTACCCCAAAGTCGGAGTATGTTAAGTTCAAAAACAAAGTTTTTCAGAGGAGAATTTTTAATATATTCATTTTATAATTTTTGAAGGGTCCGGTGCGAAATTTACAAAAAATTTTTAAACACTCAAAAATAACTAGTTTCTATAGTAAATTTTCAAAAAAAAAAAAAAAAATGGATGAAGCAGTATTTTTCGAAAAAAATTTGATTAAAAATCTCAATTTTAAGGTTATAACCACAAAACAATTACTATAAATGACAGTTTCTGACTTAAAAATAACAAACGTTGCCAAGTTGTCAATTAAATTATAAGTTTAAGAGCTATTGCACTGCTCACAAATCTTGCGTGCAAAGGTAGAACAGTATATGTGAAAAAAATGAGTTTTGAAAAATCGACTTTTTTGTTTTTTTTTGTGCCTTTTAATTAGTTTTGTAGATACATTAACGAAACTTGAAATATGAGATGGGTAAGTAATTTCTACCGTCACTACAATAAAAATACCTTTGAAGAGGTTGAGTGGTGTGTACACACTGGGTAATAAGAAATGAATGTGACGTATTTAAAGTGTGTAGGTAGTTTTATTAATATTAATAAAACTCAGTAAAAGTAGTCTTAGCGCTTTCAGCCGGTTAGGCCATCATCAGAGACTAATAGAAAGGTCTAGGAAATTAAGTGATTTGTTGACTTCAAGCTCGACTGTGAATTTAATTTTAGGATGGATATTGTTGATGAAAATTAAGAAGTCATCAATCTCAGAGACGTTACAATTCATAATAGCAAAAATGTCATCAACATATCTGTGCCAGTGTAAGATTCGGTTGTTAGGGGAATTAATCAGAATTTTATTGGTTTCTAGGTGATCTAAAAATAAGTCTGCTAACAAAGGACTAAGAGAGGAAACCTTTCCTATCATTAAGGACCTTCTTACAAAAAATAACTTTAACCTTCATTCGATCAATATTATCTTGGATTTACTAAAAGTTTGTCTTGACCAAGATTTTTTTATTTTTAATAAAACTTTCTACAGACAACCTAACGGCCTAGCAATGGGCAATCCTCTTAGTCCTTTGTTAGCAGACTTATTTTTAGATCACCTAGAAACCAATAAAATTCTGATTAATTCCCCTAACAACCGAATCTTACACTGGCACAGATATGTTGATGACATTTTTGCTATTATGAATTGTAACGTCTCTGAGATTGATGACTTCTTAATTTTCATCAACAATATCCATCCTAAAATTAAATTCACAGTCGAGCTTGAAGTCAACAAATCACTTAATTTCCTAGACCTTTCTATTAGTCGTATGGATAATAAGCTCGAATTTGATATCTACAGGAAACCCACTCAAACTGATCATCTAATTAATTTTCACTCTAATCACTCTTATCAACACAAGTTATCAGCCATATACTGTTATGTTCACCGTCTCCTCAATATACCTTTATCTAATCATAATTTTAATAAAGAAATCAACGTTTTAAAACAACTAGCCTTTAATAACAACTACTATCCTTCTATTATTGACATGGTTATTAATAAGGTTAAACTTAAGAAAAGGTCTCTGCTTGCTTTTAATCCTACTAATGATTCTCCTGCTAATTTTAAATACTTCTCACTACCTTATCTCGGGAAAATTTCCAATGATATCGCTGCAGTTTTTAAAGATTGCAACAATATTAAAATATCTTTTAAAAATGTTAATTCAATTAAAAGCCAACTATCACACACTAAGGATGAAATCGAGTTGCTACTCAAAAGTGGTATCTATAGATTAAACTGTAACGATTACAATACTACTTATATAGGGAAAACCGAGAGAAGACTCAATTTAAGAGCCGGTGAACACATTAGATATCCTGATAAGTCCACTTTTGGACATCATATTAAATTCAATAATCACAATTTCACTCCTTCTGAGAATGTCACTGTCCTTCATAATATTTTCAATTGTAACTTCAAATTAAATCTTCTCGAAGATCTTGAGATACACCGAGAGTTTAATAAAACTAATGTCACCTGTGTTAACACGCAAATCCATCTCAATAGCAAAGTTCCTCCTCTCTTTAAGAGTATTGGCAACGGTTGGTCTGAAGTTACCTAGCTAGCTTCTCCTTGAATCTTCTTACAGCAGAGTTGATCTTGTCTTCTCCGGTGATATCTGATTTCGTGGTCAGGACGGTTTTTCCTCCTCTTTTAGTTGGAAAAGTTGGTCTGCCTGCGACTTCGGTTTCCCTGGGGTCGGCAGGCTCAATTCTGTTGTTCTAGTCAGGCACCTTCTTAATTTCAATAATTTTATATCAAAATGTTTTTTACCTTCACTCAATGTATATTTTATAATTCTACTTATTTATTGTAACGTTTGGTTAATTTTTAAAAATAATTTAAAATTTAAAATTCCCTCCATAACTTGTGCTTGCTACTTCAGTGGTTCCAACCCACTTTTATTTTTTTAAATATTAACTTTGATCAATTTTCATGAAATTTATTTGTTTTTCTCAAGTTGGCAATTGTTTTGACAACTTCATTGTCAACTGTCTATTGTCACTCAGTTCTTTTTTTGGCACTGTTAAAGTCAAGATGGTTACCTTTTCGTCTTTATTGCATTCTACTTCTTACGATTACCTGTGCCCCAACTTGCCTCCGCCTCACGGTAGCTATTTTGAAAGGGCAGCTGGCTTCAAGCCGAAGTTCAGTTTTTTCCATCTCTCTTCCTTGGAAAGGTTGAGACAGTTTATTTACACGTGTTGGGATGAGCCCCCACGTTTCTTTTCAATTTTCAACCATCTGTTAGGATTGGTTTTGCTTCGTTTCAAGCCTCAAGTTATGGTTGAGAACCAGGGACCGTATTGTGGCAGCCTTTTGAATCTAATAAATAAAATTTTAAATAATTAATTTTCATGTACCTTCTATATTTACTGACAAGTAAGTTGTAATGTTTTTTTTTTTTTATTATTTTTTGTTCAATGTTTAGGAATATCTCGATTTGACTATTGTTATAGCTCCGTTTTTTTATCTTTGTAGAGTCTCTGATGATGGCCTAACCGGCTGAAAGCGCTAAGACTACTTTTACTGAGTTTTATTAATATTAATAAAACTACCTACACACTTTAAATACGTCACATTCATTTCTTAAAAATACCTTTGTTCTTCAATTCCTGTCCTGTGAAAGTAGCATAAACTGTTTTGCCTCGTTTTATATAAGATATTATTTTTATATAACTTAGGAAGAATCGTATAAACGATTCATTTACAGTTTTACCATCTTATTGAAACAACAAATATGTTTAAGTGTAAGGGGTTAAAGAAAAGGTCCTTTATTTCTCACAAGTCAATTTAATTGGCGACCGGTTTCGAAGCTGTCACTTCATCATCAGGCACACCTAAATGGAATGTCAAGGAGTCAGTTGTAATAAAAAACAATTATAAAAGCATGAACGGATATTAACATATACAAAATAACAGAAAAAACAGAAAAGTAAGTTAAACAATAACCTTGACTCACCTTGACTATTTCCATAAAGGAAGCGCTACATAAAGTTTAACAAAACAGTAACAGTAACAAGGATTTTATTTACATAGTTAAAATATCTACAGATTCAGAATATGAAATAGTATAATCAACACTACCGGGATCTTCTCCTTTCGTGCTGGTCTAGAGTCCGACCGGACTTGTCCACCTATATCTACCCCTATTCTGATAAAAAATGATCAAATATTGCAGCCCTCACTCCTTACCATGCGATATTATTGAGGGATTAGGATTGTTTTGGAATCGGTAATGGGAATTTGTAAAAGGATATGTCGCGTTTGAGTTATGGTTTTTGTCCCCTGAAAAAGCTAAAAAAAAACAGGGTTGTCCTTGTGTGTATAGTTGTTTGTTTAGTCTATTGTTCAGTAATACAACTCACAGGCAGAGTGCTCGATACACCGTCCATCGAGGCAACAATCGCGGATTTCACGCTTCATTTCATTTCAAAATCTTTTTATTCAGTATTTACAATATTTACAATTTTTTTTAACATAGTATAGTAATATGTATTATAGGATTGCTTCTTGCGTCTTCTGCATGCAGCTCTGTCCTATAATGACCTAAAATAGGCCATGGCCGATCTCATAGCCATATTACCATCCCCGTTAAATTATAATTTTGCTGTTAGTCCACCACCTCCTTGCTTGAGAAGCATAATGTGGCGATTTTAGTGAGCTTGTTAGATCGGTAGTGGAAAATGTCTATAGTTTTGTCGGATTTTACTTATGTGAGTATCTTCCCTGAAAAACCAGTTGCAAAAAACAGGGTTGTCTTTGATTTCACGCTTCATTTTTTTCAAAATCTTTTTATTCAATATTTACAATATTTACAATTTATTTTAACAAAGTATCGTAATATATATTATAGGATTGCTTCTTGCATCTTCTGCATGGAGCTCTGTCCTATAATGACCTAAAATAGGCCATAGCCGATCTCATAGCCATATTACCATCCCCGTTAAATTATAATTATGCTGTTAGTCCACCACTTCCTTGCTTGAGAAGCATAATGTGGCGATTTTAGTGAGCTTGTTAGATCGATAGTGGAAAATGTCTATAGTTTTGTCGGATTTTACTTATGTGAGTGTCTTCCCTGAAAAACCAGTTGCATGTCTTAGTTTCCCGTTAGTCTCGCCAAATCGTGAAGTCTACACGGCAATTACACCGTCCTGCATTGTGATCCAGGCAAGCCTCGATTCCAACACAGGCCGATGACGTCACCGTGCAGTCTTCCGTCCGACCGCTATTCGAGACTAGTGGTCGAATTGATTTGGCTTATTTAGTATTTTGTTTGTAATTGTGAGGA